ATGCAGCCGAAAAGGAGTGCGTGGTGCTGGGAGTGGGTGCAGCCTACATGGCCTAAGACAGGGCTCTCACCCTCCTTTCACCCACATGAGAGTCCCTTGACGTTGCCCATCGTCAACAGCCTAAAGCCTTCGACCATCGATGTGACTTGTCTCACATCAGTGTTTTGGGGTTGTGAACTTGTCTAAGACCCCCCATAATTAGACATCCAAATTCAAAACTCACATAGTTGGGATTGAACATAAGACGCCTTCTCTAACTAAACAGAGAAGGGGGAGATGCCAGAAGCCAGGACCCTCGCCCTTACCCTTACCCCCTACCTTTCCCCACCTGCACAATGTCCTCTGAAGCTTGGCAGCTGCAAGATCCTGCTTAGCAACTGCAGATAGACTCAAAGCAGAGTACCATGTCTTCTTAAGAATAGCAGGGAGACCATAACTCAAGCAGTGTACCATATCTTCTGAAGAACTGCAAGTAGATCATAATTCAAGGCAGTGTACCATATAGACCATGACATGTTTCAAGGCACAGGCCAAGAAGATTTTGTACTTTTCCACCACCTGGACCCTCTTACCCCCTCCCTTTGTAAAACATGCTATAAAAAAGCATTTCATGTTCAAAAAAAAAAAAAAGAAATTAAAAAAAAAATAAAATAAAATATATACTTACAAAAAAAAAAAGGAAACTCCAAGCCTATACATACCATATAATAATATATCGTACCTGGACCTGATGCTAATTAGCATACATGAAACCCAACCCATATGGACACGTCCTCTTTCACCCGGTTTCCACGAGCACCTCAAGACATCAAGATTCATGTGTGGCAAGAGCATGAAGTAAGCCCAGAGAGATTAAATAATTTTGTTCAAGGCCACACAGTGCCTACCGGGCTTTTAACCCACACTGGTGGGATTTCCCTAACAAAGCCCAAGGCAAGTAATGCAACAACTTATTGTATGATTATTTCACACAGCAAGTAAAAAAGAATTCTCTTTTAATAAGTTTCCCATGAGAGAAACGGTGAGGAGTGTGTGTGGCTCACACTGAGGCTGTGCAGTGTGTGTGGTGCACACTGAGGCTGTGCTTATCATGTTCTGTTCTATTGTGTACGAAGTTTACAGGTACTCTGATTTGTTAAAGTGTCTTTATTTGACAATGGATCAGACAGGAGAGGTCAAAGTCCTCTAACAGTCAAAAGTCCTCTACTAATTGGATATATATATGCACACACATATATATACATATATATATGTGTGTGTGTATATATATATACATATATATATGTATATATATATATACTCAATTGGTAAAATCGGTATATATATATATATATATATATATGCCAATAGGCCAACAGCTAAATATGACATATATACATATGTATGACATATATTTATATATGGTATATATATATATATGACATATATATATATACATACACATACATACACACATACCAATTGGTCAACAGCCAAACATGACATACACATTTTACACATATGATTCTTTTGCTTTTTTTTTATATTTTTAAAGTTGAAATGGAGGTTTGTTTGTTTATCTGTGTTTTGAAGCAAGTCTAGTTTCTGACATTTGTAAACCGAATGTCATCCTAAGCCTGACGTCCCACTGGGGCGTCAGTGAGCCAGAGCTGAACAGTAGATACTTCTTTTAAATAGAGCAGACCTTCGTGCATTTGGGCTTGTGACTTTAAGTGCTTAGTTCTAACTACCAACTACATCAGATCCTAAGTCTGTTTTCCAAGCATGAGATCCCTCTCTGCTTTCATGGAAGACTGTGACCTTGACATCCCTCTCTGTTTTGGTGGCTCTCATGCTTTTGTGGCCTGGGGAAAGCAACAGTCTGGCCAGTGCAGCTTTGCATACACTTTCTCCTAGGAATTCAAAACTCCGGCTTAAAGAAGCAATTTAATCTCGTTTGCAACTAAATTACTTCGCAGGGTCTCAGTCTAAAAGATAAAAGTCTTCTGAAATAGACTTAGAAGGAAGTTCAAGGAAGTCTTATTAGAGTTTGAGAGAATAATAACAGGACAGGCAAGTCGTAAATTTCAGTCATTGCCAAGACAGACAAGAAAAAGGAGAGCTATGGTTCTGAGTCACAGTTATGTCCCCAGGCAGCTTCTGGAGGGTGAAGGTGTGGGGGAGCTATAGATGGCTAACTCTCCATCATTCGTCTGACCCACAGACACTGAAAGGAAAAAGAAAAAAAAGAAAAAGCCTGAAAATTTTCCACCTTTGAGCCTTGCCTAAATGTAATGTGGAGGCTGGGAAAGTGGACGTTAGTGGGAAATGACAGCCATAGAGTTGTTTTCCTGTAGAAGAGAGGCACTCATTGCGAGTTTATGGTTTCCTGATTCTGCTTGCACACGAAGGTTGCAACGCAGGCTTTCAAGCATTTGTTCCTCCTTCCCAAGCCTAGCAGACCTCAAGTTAGACAAAGTTAAAGCCAGAGAGTCTTGCTAACTTGATCTCTTTCATCCCGCTGCCTGCCACATGCCCAGGATCTTATAAAATTTAAAGGTAGTAGAGTATTTCTCCTCTGACAGCACTCTGAGGAAGGGGAGGATGTCCTTTCATCAACACTTCTCGGTCTCCATTCTCTCTGCACAGTCCTGAAGTGATCAGACTCATCTGGACACATTTGTAAGGGTCTGAGAAGGACAAATGTTCTCAGTCTAGCCTGATGTCACTGGACTCAACTGTGAGCCTCCAAATAGTTTTGTAAATGTGCTTGTTAATGTTGTGATGTTTGATGATATTAAGAAAAAAAAGTGGGATTTTTTTTTCTGAGAATGGGAAAGGTGAATAGAAAGCTAGAAAGCCTAAGAAGTTCAAGAAAGAGAAGTATCACAATTGTCCCTCAGGATTAAAAATACTATGAGAGGCCTCAGGGGGTGATGCATGCCTTTAATTCCAGCACTCTGGAGACAGAGAGGCAGAAGGAACTCTTGTGAGTTCGAGGCCCAAACTGGTCTGCACAGCAAGTTACAGGACAGCCAGGATTACATTGAGAAACCTGTCTCAATAATAAAACAACAACATATAAAAAGGAGGCGATATCAGGACTCTGCTGAGGTCTCAAGCCCTTATAGATTTTACATAAACTACTGTGTCTGCAGAAAGAAAAAGCAAGAACTTCTTGGAGGATAACAGGCAGGGTCCAAACCTATCTAAATATGGATATAGTAAAGTTTTCTTTTTTTAAATTTCATCAGAATCTTTTTTTCACAGTGTCAGCTTCTGTAATCAACAGGACATGAATCAGCTAAAAACCCCGCAAGTGAATCCTACAATTTTCCCTTTGTGCAACAACAGTACAGTTAAAACTGGTAAATCAGGATAGACCATTATGCCAGGAAGAACTTGTTGGAATGAAACACCTCCCAAGGAAGTCCCCAATCTCAGATTTTATGTGACTAATCCATGGGTGTGAGGATCTGTTAAAGAAACAGAGTTTAGATCACAAGTCCTAGCACATAACTTGTGTGTGTGTGTGTGTGTGTGTGTTCTCCACAAAGAAAAGCAGTTGCTGGCCTATTTAGTGGCTTATTTAAAATGGATTATACTAGAAGAGGGATTCCGTATCTTGTCATTATATCATTTGCCTGAATAGCATTTGCATTTTAGCATATTATAGTCTTATGTATTTATTAATCCAAGACTTTAAAATCAAGACCTAGCTTTCTACTTACAAACAGTAGAAAATACACAAAAAATAATGAACAATAGAATTAATTCCCTCAGGGGAATGCATGCTGATAAAAATCCTACAGTGAGAAGGGACGTCAACTCCTATCTGCTGTTTCCATAAGAATGTATTCCAGGTAACTATGAACACACATTTGATTTGAAGCAATAAAAGGCTAGCCTACAGCATACTCTGTTAATGATTTTCAGGGGTAGAACTGACCACAGAGGGATACTCAGGTCAGCTTAGTGACTCACTGGTTTCACCCTCAGTTCTTTGAGGCACCAGAGAAAGGACAATGAGGTCTCTTAAAAGTGCTGTGAGCTGTAATTTCAGGGGGAAAAAAGCCACCCTACACCTGTTGAAGACCCAGAAAGGTTGACTGACTGATTAGAACTGCCTGATTGTGTAGGACTGTGGTGTAGGTCCCAAGCCAAACTATCTTGGGCCATCCCACTCACTGGCCACTTCTGAGTCTGACCTAACATCCATCCTTAGAAATGTACAGACCACTTAGCTTCTCCCATTGAAAGGGTAAAGATGTCCTTCTCAGGTAATATCTGAACCAGTAGCAGAAATTTCCCTCACTTTGGGTTTAGCCCCATGTCCCCACCAAATATATTTTAAAGATGATTTGTGATTTTCTTTTGTTCTGCTATTACAAAAAAAAATTTCATAAATCTGTTACCAAGTTGGACATGATACTTGGGTTGAGGTGTCACCTGAATTAGTACCCCTCCCCTGATAGTAGGGCACATATTTGGTTTCAGAATAGACGATATATATTTTTTTTCTTTTTTTGAGGTGAGAACAGTAGTTTTGTATGATAGTGACCAATTGAAAAATGAACAGCTCAGGATTCAAGTCATGGGTTAAATGATGAAGAACATTTAATTTTTAAGTGGGCCAGGAGTGGTCTTGAACCCCATCTTGCTTTGCAAATGTTTAGCTGCTTTATCTTTCGCCTTAAAATGGCCTTTTCTTTACAGCAAAGGGCATGTCTTTTACGTAGAAAGTGTTTGCTTGGGGAAAAGGCCATTTCCCCTCTAATGCATTTTGCAGCGGGGTCGCTGTGGTGTGTGGTGGACACACAGCCCACCGCCACAAGGTGCATCTTAGTGAGGCACAGCAGCTGAGGGGCGGGGCGCAAGGGGTCCGGTCATTGCCGGGAAAGGGCGGGGCCAAGGCCTGGAGGGGGCGGAGATTGTGATGACAGGTTGGGTAGCCAGTGAAAGAACTGGGAGCGAAATCCTGGGCGGGACCTATGCCGCGCAGGAGAACGGGGCTGGTGCTGGGGGCGGGACTGAGGGTCGCGGGCCGATGACGCGCAGGCGGAGCCGCTACTTCCTGGATCCGCCGGCCGGGGCCGCTGCCGCACCCTGCGCCGGAGCCGGGAACCCGGGGCCGCCGCCATGTCCCACCAGACCGGCATCCAAGGTAACGGCGCCACGGGGCAGGGGCTCCCGGGAGGCTGCGGGCCCGAGCGCTGGAGGCGCGGACGGCATTGGAGCTGCTCTGGGTGCGACGGCCCGACTGTGTCCCTCGCGGCCCTAGCCGGCGGCCGCCACGTATCAGGCCGGTAGCTGCCAGAGAGCGGAGACGTGAGGATGCACGGGGCGACCCTGCTGCATCCCGGCCCCCGTGCCGAGAGCAGGAAGATCCGAAGCTGACCAGGCTCCTTCCGCCGGCCAGCCGAGCGACTTTTCCTCAGGACCAGCCAAAGGAGATTGTTCCAGCGCTCAGATCGTTTGTAAAACCAAACAGATCCTACCGCTGTAGGGTGCCTCCCGAACTCCCCGGATTTTCTCTCAGAACGCGGGTGTGCCTTCCTTTTGGAGAAATCCTGAGTAGGAAGTGTTTTTCCATCTTTGGATGCTTGCTCCGCAGGCAGCTGAAAAGTCTGATCTGAGTGGCTGCACCTCATCACCCCGTGGAGACAGTTGAATGTGCAGTTTACTTGTGTATCTTACTCGCCATTATTATTTCCTGGTTTGAAAATAGGCAACTTGGACGTACTCAGACTCCTCGGAATCAAATAATATATCCCGGGGTTATTTAACGAGTTCCAATATAAACTAGAGCACTTCCTGTAATAGTTAACTGAGTCTTTCCTCCAGGTGACCACTTAATAACTTGTTTTGTGTTTAAGGGTTTTTGACACCACCATTTAATTCCATACACACGCAGGCAAAAATAGTCTCAGGTTTAAAAACATTGAATTTTCCTCCAGTGTTACTTTTGATATTTAAGTATGTCAAAATTATTGTTTAATGTTTGAGCCTTTTATCTAGCAAGACGTAAATAGTAGTCTTGCTCGGCAATCAACAACACAAGTCCGAATTTGAAGCAGTAATGGCTACACAAGAGATAGGTTATTAAATGTTTATTTGCTCGATGGCTACTATAATTTTTTTTGACAAAGAGATACAAGAACAGTAGAATCATTGTAACACCTAGTGTTTTAGAATTGATCCTGTTGTTTTTGATGGACAGAGACAGGAAATGACTTGATGAAGGGGCTATCCCAAACTTAAAATTGGACGATAGAAGCAACTTTTCAACGTTTTCAGACATGAAGCAGTTTGTCCATTACTGGGTTTGACCTAAAACATTCACCCTGGTGTTACTTCTGCTACAGAGTTCTGTAGCGGAAATGTTTAAGTTCCTGTACTTTCTAAATGTTAATATTTAGTTTTTAACTCATAGCCAAGGCCCATATTTTATGCTCCTGTTTTATAATAACAATAATAAGAAGAAGGGGCTACATGCTCCATGTTTAATTTCTGTTTTTCTGAGATAAATACAAGCTAAACTACTTCTAAGTTTAAACACTTTTTCCTTTATCATTTTCCCACAGCAAGTGAAGATGTTAAAGAGATCTTTGCCAGAGCCAGAAACGGGAAATACAGACTTCTGAAAATATCTATTGAAAATGGTTAGTTAACATTTTTAAGAGTCTCTGTGCCCTTGGAGTGTTAGCTGTTACAGTTTCAGATTTCCAAGCCTTATTAGTAATTTGAACTGTTAATCAGGGTGAAGCAAGTTCAGAGTTTGCCTTTCAGCCTGTTTTCCTTTTAAATTGGGGGTGGCCGTTGGAGAAACAGCAGATGCTTTCTGGTGTGGTAGCTTCACCTGTTGTGTGCCTTTCTACGGCACGGTCCACGTTGAACGTCAGGGCTTCCTTTGATCTTGTCTTGTTCACGGCAAATTATAAATTGACTCCTTAACGCTAATTGTTGTGAGCAGGGAAACTGTCTGAGAGGCTCCGTCTGACATGGATGGAGTTCTGTTCATACTTCATGTTGGAGGGACTATGCTGAGAGTACTCTGCTGGCCTTCTCAAATACCCTAACACATTTTGTTTTGGAAAAGTAACTTGTAGTGGAAATAAACCAAGTTTGTTTTCTGCTTTTATATTTAAATGTGAAGCTAGTTTAGAAAATCTTAGCTTCTGTAGGAACAGATGTATATACTTCAGAGCAGCTAAGTATGAGTGTCAGTAAGCAAAATGGGAAGGTAAAAATGTACCTGAGTCATGTTTCAGGGAGAAAATTTCTTGTTTCCTAAATATTTTCAAGGTTTTTTTTTTTTTTTAATCTTGAGAAAAATGTTAAACTAGAAATTTCAGAGAATGAAAAAAAAATCAATACCCACTTCTTAAATTAATGACCTAGTACTTTATAGTTTGCTCCCGACCTTTTTAATTGTCACTGTTTTTCTAATGAAGGATATCTTTTGACAGCTGTACACACACACACACACACACACACACACACACACACACACACGCCACCCGGAGCAGCTGCAATTGGGAAGCTGTACATACGTAAATGACCCATCCTCTTCAGCACATAACGCTGGGTTTAAGTTCCTATAAACTGCATATTGTTTTATTCTTGATCTTTACTTCTGGGATTTCTGGGGGTTTGTGTTGCCAGCCTATGATTATTTTAAAACATGAACATCGTTTCTATCTGACTGTACCACAACATGTTCTCTTATGGGGAAGGTGGAAGCTGTCCCAAGTTTGCCCTGTTGCTGTGTACTACTGAAGTGTATGCCTGTCTGTGGGTACAGGTGACTCTGGGAGTACTCCCTTCATAACTTAGTCAGTTCTACAAGACAGCACTTAAAAAGTGTGGCGACTCCTAGTTCTAGTTTATGTGCTTAGGCAACATTTAAACCAGCAGTGTTGTCAAACAGGAGCTAACGCTTGTTTCATAGTTCTTTACAAGTAAACATTAATTTTAAGAATTACAGTTTTGAGTCATAAATGAAGTTATATATATGGTATAATATATATCTATATATGGTAATTTAAACATTTTAAGAGCATTTAACTCAGCTGTTACTATAGTAATTGAGGCATAAGTCGTTCTTCTTGTCTTCATCACATTGACACTTGGTGCTACACATCATTCATATCTGTTTCAAATTCTCCTTCCGTAGAGCAACTGGTGGTTGGGTCCTGTAGTCCGCCTTCAGATTCCTGGGAACAGGATTACGATTCCTTTGTCTTGCCCCTGCTGGAGGACAAGCAACCGTGCTATGTATTATTCAGGTTAGATTCTCAGAATGCCCAGGGATATGAATGGATATTCATTGCATGGTCTCCAGATCATTCTCATGTGAGTAATTTTTTGTAGTTTTTGTTCTGTTTGTTTTGTTTTGCTTGTTTGTTTGGCATTAAATGCTAGGAAGAATTTTTTTTTTTTTCTGAAGTATTTGCAGGCTGAAGGAAGGGTAAGAAGCAACAATCTTTTCCCATAGAGGGATAATCCTCTCCCCAAACAAACAAGAAAAAGCTGATAATACACTAGGATAAAGTGCAGGTGGAATTGAATGTAAATATTGCCCAACATTTTAAAGAGTCTGGAGCTTCTTATAAGAAGCTAATTTTTAGTGCTATCTAGATGTTCTCAAAAGATTACCCATTTTTAATTCTGTCTGGAAGAAGTAGCAGATTCCACTATTTAGAATTAAGAAGTTATTTGTGTTAGTGAATGGTACTCCATGAGAGCTCCTAAAGCTCTTTCCTCCTAGAACGCATGTCTCCATCCCAGTGTTGCCTCTAATGGCATCTGCCGTCCCGGAGTCCAGGAATATCTGATTCTCACCAAGTAATGTCTGATCTAGCTTTGAGTAAAGTATCACTGCAAAAGCTACTTTGTCCTGATCTCCTCCCCCATATTTTAAAATAGTACTTTAGGTTATTTTTTGTCCTTGCAACTAATTTGGCACTTTGTAAAGGTAGGAGCTTATTTTGTATTTTAAACAAGCATACACTACATAATTTAAGACTGACCATAATGGTCATTAATGGTATAGACACCCATTTTACAGTTGTCAGTGTCAGCCTGATCTGTTTAAATACTGAAGATTTTAATATAGTCTTTTATAATGGTATATTTTATACAGTTAATACTGCTAACATGTAAAACCTTCACAACTGTATAGGTTCGTCAGAAAATGCTGTATGCAGCAACCAGAGCAACTCTGAAAAAAGAATTCGGAGGTGGCCACATTAAAGATGAAGTGTTCGGAACAGTAAAGGTGCAAAACTTACATTTATTTAAAAAACATACATTTATATGTGTTTTTTATGTTTTAAAAACCAAAATAAAACAACAAGCAAAAATAAACCAAAGCTGTTGAAGCCAGGCATGGCAGGCCGAACCTGTAATCACAGCGTGTGGGAGGGAGGGAGTACGCTCTCTGAGGGTGACACCAGCCTAGTCTACGTACTGCGTTCCAGGACAGTCAGGGGTACACAGTAAGATCCTGTCTCAGAATAACAAATGCAAAGAGGTAAAAGATGATTGATATGAATTTCAGAGTCTCAGTCTATAACCTTAAGACAGTTTATTCTAGCTCAAGATTTGCAAGTTTGTGCTAGTGAACGTATTTGTATCTATTTACTGTTGAGAATAAATGCTGTTGAGATATACGTACCCTTTAATGTGTGTGGTACATTGATGCAGGTGTGAGTATATTAGTGAATTAAGATGGTTAGAATATGCTTCTGCACAGCTGGCTTATGGTTCAGTTTCAGAAGATGACACGCTGTAGCCAGTAGAAGAGGTGTGTGTTCTCTCCCCTGTGAACCAGGAGGAGGGCTGGCCTCTCTGCTTTTTCACTGGCAGCTGTCCAAGAGCGGCATGCTCATGAGTCCTCTTTGGCGTGCTTTGTGTGTGATGAATACTCTGCAGATACCACAGAAGTGACTTTGATCTAGAATGTAGACTGAGTAAATCACTCAGAACAGCTGTAGGGCAGTTTTCTGCACATGGTGAATTTCGGGTGTCCTGTCGGCTTGATCAGTTTGTTATCTGACTGACCAAACTTAGACAAAAGATTTAGTGACTACAAAGGGGATAGATACACTTGTTCTGAAGCCTTCAACATAGAGGATTCAAGGAAGGATAGAGAAAAGCCTTCTGCTGTGAACTGTCACTTAATCTTCTTTTCTATTAAGTTTATTTTGTAATGTAAGCTCACCATGGTTGTATTTCTTGGAAATAATAATTTATTTATTTGCTTACAGGAGGATGTATCATTACACGGATATAAAAAGTATTTGCTGTCCCAGTCTTCCCCTGCCCCACTGACTGCAGCTGAGGAAGAATTACGGCAGATTAAAATCAATGAGGTAGGTCACAACCTAAACATGGTTCAAGGTTTCCAGTGTGTCAGAATAGTCTGTTTAATGAATAGACCTGCAGGTAACTGAAAATCAAAAGTTGGGTCCATTAGCTTTATTCTGTTTAGGTTAAAACAGATCTGTGTGCTTTACGTGTTTTCAGAAAAAAGGTAAAACGTCCATATTAAAATAATCAGTTTAAGGGCTATCCCTGAGATACACGGTAAAGCAAACTTCATGCTAGAATCTCTGTGCTGTGAGAAATTTTTAAAGAGAAAAGTGTGTTACCCAATGATTGCAAAGAGCTTTATATCTAATACAACTGCATAAAGAAAACTCTTTAAAACATATATTACTTCAGGGACGGGTGTTTACTTAAGAGAATAGAATTAACATGTCAGAGAGTGCTTAGGATCTTTGAGTCCTGTGACCTTGGATGGAGGCATGCATGGCAGGCTGAGTATCTGTCATGCACACTGAGGCCAGGAGACCTGGGGCCATGATGCTGATGCTTTCTCAGCCATCGTAGTTAGCTTTTATAATCGCTCTCTTTCTACTGAAACTTTACAGAGAAGAACAAAGTGCCCCAAACCTCTGTTCAGTCTTCTTCATGCTAGGTTGGACCAGGCTGGAGATAGCTCAGTCCCTTTAATGTCACATTGATAGCAAGGATCTAGCATATATTTTAAACTAAAGTTGTGTAGGGCTTTTGATGGTGACTTTTTTTTTTTTTACAAGTTTGATAGTCTGTTTTATTCCTTGCAATCAGAACCCAGAGGATCACGGTGGGGTATGCACTTGCATATGTTCTATGATGTTCTCATTACCAGTATCATGCTGTAGACTCTCCATTCATTTCTTAGTGAAGTTTGTATTCAACTTTCTGTTGCAATATTGCAAAAGAGACCCTATACTAGCTGTCATTTATCAAGTAGAAAACCATCCTGCGCACTGAAAAGCTTTCTTGAAGTACCTCCTCTCATCCACACGGCGTGGTTTAGTAAAGAAAGCCCCACATCTGGAATGTGTACAGTTGTAGCTTGTTGAGCTGTGTGTTTTGTCTGTGTCCTGTGTCCTCAGTTCAATGCATGAAGTTTGTGTTGCATTTTATGTCCTGTAGAACAGAGTAGAGGCCTATGCATACTGTACACATTTTACTGTTCAGAAATTCTAGGAAGAAACGTTTGTGCTTACAGAGGTAATCTGATGATACTTTGCGTATCTGTAGCTACTTGAACCTGTGTCAACCTGAGCTAAGGGCACACCTCCAGAGCCCTCTGACCGCCATTCAGGCATCCCACACCTCAATAGTTCAAAACCGTGTGCCATGCGCTCTGTATGTCCTCGGTATGCTAGCAGGACAGGAAACCAGTGTGAGAAATGATTTGCCTTCTAAGTTAAACATGCTTTAAGAATTTGAGCCACATGTCGGCAAAGGGTAAATGAGAGGTAAATATTTTTAAAGTGGAGTTTTCTTCGTTGTGCCGGTGGACACTGCTGAATACTGATGCATCCTCAGGCACTTATATCTGTCATACGTAGGTACAAACTGACGTGAGTGTGGACACAAAGCATCAGACACTACAAGGAGTAGCATTTCCTATCTCTCGAGATGCCTTCCAGGCTTTGGAAAAACTGAGTAACAAACAGCTCAACTATGTGCAGTTGGTAAGAGACACGATGCCTGCATAATGGCTCTTCTGTTGAGTTGCTATGGCTTGGCTAGTTCTTACTTTTAACTAACCTCATTTTTTTGCTTTTCTTGGTTTTTTTTTTATTAATTTTTTTCTTTTAAGGCAAGGTCTCTGCTTATTAACTTTTTATAAATCACAGAGTACTGTATATGAAAGTCAGTAGTCCTCTGCCGGGGCCTGCTGGCTGGAAAGGGTTGAAGGGGGCACAGCATCCAGACAAAAGATGGATGATCTCCGGCCGGTTAGCTCTCTGTTCTGTGCTTCAGTAAGCGCTGGAAAACGTAACTCCTGTCTCTGGCAATTATCCTGCAGCTGGGGATGCAGTAGAGGATTTACTGCTAGTGTGCCTTTTGCTGGTGAGTCAGCCAGAAGCCTCTCGCTGGCCAGGGAGCTCGGTACCTTTTTTTGAACCAGAGAGGAAAGGGAACGAAGTCACTCACACAGACGTACACACCCAATAAGGCAGAAAATGGCTGCGCTGCCTTTGTTACTGCTTTCAGCCTTTTACATCCTTCACACAGAAAGTTCTCTTAGTGAGAAAGACTTAGCTGGTAGATAAAAATGTTACATAAAGGGGAGAAACAGGATATCAGTAACAAGTGCAAAGCAGTGTTTCATTCCGTAAACTCATTATAAGTTCAAAGCAACAGTTTTTACATGACTTTGTCTTAGTGCACGCCTACGGCTTCATCCTTGGACCTGAATGCTTTTTCTTGAATACAAATTTGTCCCAAGCCTATTTCTCTTTTTAGTGAGATTATGAAAGCTCATTGTATTTCTTATTATGCAGCCTTTACTTACTATTATGAGAAATGGGGACATTCTATTCTTAATTCTAATATTATTACATCTTTCTAGAAAAACAACCATCTCTTAAAACTTTATTCCTAAGATTATTTGAATCAAATCAGAAAGTGTATAAAATCATTAATTCATCTAAATAGCAGTAATTCATGAAAGTTCATCTTTATGTTGATCTGCAGGAAATCTACTCAATAGGGTAGGCTAATGCCTAGCGATTATTATATTAATATAATAAGGACAGGAAAGACATTTCAGCTGCAAGAAGCAATCCTGAGATGAAGTCTCTTTGGGACCTTGCCTCTCAGAGCTCTCCCATCTTAGTCCATGCAAAAAGGCTGGGCACCTCCAGGGAGGCCTTGGTCTTTCCTAGATGGTTCGTGACAATCCATGACTGTACATCATCTTTGACTCTCGTTAAAGTTAACATATGTTTTACCTGTCTCATAAATGCTGTTTCTTTTTGATAGGAAATAGATATAAAAAATGAAACAATAATTTTGGCCAACACAGAGAATACAGAACTAAAAGATTTGCCAAAGAGGATTCCCAAGGATTCTGCACGTTACCATTTCTTTCTGTATAAGCATTCCCATGAAGGAGACTACTTAGAGTCCGTAGGTATGGGACACCTTACCTTCAACGCACTACCTTCAGTGTCAGCACTGTGTGCTTCTGCATTCCTTGCCAGGAGCTTAGATGCAATTTTCGGAGGTTCATAGACTTGCTTTAGTTGATCTTTCTAATTGTTGTTCTTTTAACTTGCAGTGTTTATTTATTCAATGCCTGGATACACGTGCAGCATAAGAGAGCGGATGCTGTATTCCAGCTGCAAGAGCCCCCTGCTGGAGATTGTAGAGAGACAGCTGCACATGAATGTCATCAGAAAGGTGGGCATTGCTGTTTCAGCACTGAAGTTGCTCGAGTCACCTCGTGTTTCCAGCTGGTGCAGTGTGGGGCCTCTCCAGGTGCCGTGGCTTATACACGACAACACTAATCTGACTGCTGTCATCCCCAGTCAGAGGCAGCCCGCTGAGTGCCTAGGGATGGCCTGGCATGAGCCAGATGCGTGCTAAGTAGTATGGTAGCTACGAGGTGCGGGTGGCTGTGAGTGGAAACACAGATAAAATATGAAGTTCACTTTCGTAATAACACTGATAGTTGCAAGTGCTCGCTGGCCATCTGTAGCATTAGGATAGCAGCGTATTTAGAACATTTCTGTCAGTGTACACAGTGGGGTGTTGCTACCAGATCTCCATATACATTCTGAAATACAGGTAGGGTATAAGCAAAGATGCTTCCTTATAAACTGCTGGTGTGGGTGCTGAGCCTGCAGCAGTTGAGATTCTGTCTGTCACTCAGTGTGTGCCAGCACCCTTCACAAAGGGTCAGCTGACCCTGCACAAGACCAGACAGTAAATATCTTAGGTTTTGCCAGCTGACATGGGTGTCTTTCCCATGTTTTTATTGTTTTTGAAGCCCCTTAAAGTGTGAATTGCTCTAAAGTTGGGCTAGAGATTTGATCTGTGGGCCATCATTGGCCTACCCCTGTCTCAGAGTGGTTCCAGGTAGCACAGGGGATGAAGGAGCAAGTGCAGGGTTTGCATTTACAAGCAGGGCAGCTGGAGGACGCCGTGCTCACTGCTGCTGGCAGACATTACGCACATGGAGCCGGGGGAGGCAGCAGGCTAGCAGGTGACTGGCTGGCTGTTTAAGCCAGTGCTTTAGTGCCTCCCAGAAGGGCTGCAGAGGAAGCGTTACAGATACAGTCCTCGCTTGTTCTCTGTGGAAGGTGTGTGGTACACTCATGAGGCATCGGTGCCTGGGAGCCGGTTTACAGTGCTTCAGTTCTGAATGCTCCCTGCTTCCGTTGTTTCTCACTGGTGACCTCCTCTGTTGCAGATTGAGATAGACAACGGGGATGAACTAACTTCGGATTTCCTTTACGATGAAGTCCATCCCAAGCAGCATGCACATAAGCAGAGTTTTGCTAAACCGAAAGGTCCTGCGGGCAAGAGAGGGATCCGAAGATTGATTAGGGGTCCAGCGGAAGCAGAAGCCACTACTGATTAAATTTGTCTTATTAAATGTTGCAATATAGTTTTGTAAAATCTCCAGCTTTTAGTACAAGGAGGACTGAAATCATTCCATGTTGATATAGTTGGGGAGGGAAATTGTACTTTTTGAAAAATAGCACTTTTCACTTCTATGTATTTTTTAAATTAATGCTATAGAAGATTCATGATTTTTATTTTTTAGTTAAAGCTAGACAAGGTTTCAACATAGTAATGTTTGGTTTTGTCACACTGTTTTCATAGCGTGTTGATTCCACACTTTGACATAATCTTCAATATTTTACATAGGTGGGCCAGTTACATAAGGACTTGCTTTTTAGAACTCTGTAGTGAGTTCTGTTTCCCTGTAAAGGGAAGCGGAACAGCCCTGAGGTACTCGCACTTGTTGAGTCTGTGAAGGAGCCTGGGAAGAGGCAGGCAGCTGCTCGCTTTGAGTGTGTGGTCTGTCTGCTGTGACGGAGAACTCACGGCCTACTGCAGCAGGGCTTCCTTTCCATTGTAGTACCATTCAGATTTCAGAAATGCAGTTCCTGCTGAAGCTCAGAAGGTACCGGACAGCCAGGCTTCCTCATGGCTCTGCAAGGCTACAGTCTTGTAAGGTCTGTGCAGAGCTTTTGAATTGTCTGCTTCCAAAGTGATACTATAAGGACTATGAAGCCAGACGTTCATGTTCAGATCAGAATTCAAGTGTCATTCAAAAAGAAACAAACCTAAAGTAAACATGTTTGAAGTTTCAAGTTTTTTTTTCTCTTTGAAACCATGTGTCTTAAAGCAGATTGTCACATCACTTGCGAGCAAGTTTTCAGATCTAAAATTATTGATTTCTAGTACTTAGTAGGCTACCACAGGTAATACGTAGCCTAAGGATCTTGTTTCAGTTAATAATGTCTCTCAGAACACAGGTTTTCTGAAGCTTTGTATTTTCAGTTACAACCTAGAAAGTTTTGAGCCTCAAGAGTTCTTTGTTACTTGAAATAGAGGGAGTTAGAACACTTGGTGTTTAATCTGCTAAGCCTGCTGCAGAGCCATAACTGAGAAGTTGTGAAGTGGACTGTCGTGTCCAGGATTTGGAAGTCCTTGACCTGAACTTCATGCTGCACAAGATAATGTCAGTAATGTACATTTCATGGTATGAAATACGAAGTGCTCATTGCAAAGCCTTATTACCTGAAGTAATACACGCGCCTTTCAGAAATTCAGTGTGTATTCACATAGATCATAAGAGGAATTATGGGCTGATGGAAATTTTTAAAAATAGATTTGAATATTGTGTGTTTTGTTTGTTTACAAATATGTAGACTTTACTACTTAAATATGCAGGACAGTTGACAGTGATGTCGCACTTGTTTACGTGAGGTAAACTTTTTAGTTGTACGTGTGTACATGTCGTCACACGTGCCATAGAGTGCTGCAGTGAGGGACCTGGAGCCATGTTGCAGACCATCACCAGAGCTGCCATTTCAAGCAGAGGGAGTACTACGTGTCCTGGATCCAGAGCCAGCGGGGACTGTTCCAAAGCATCGTGTGCAATTACGCTCTGAAGTCTAATACACTACGTCAAAGTCAATGCACATTCCAGAATCCAGATGTGATCTTGTAACCTTACTAATAATTAAACCAATGATTGCTGAGAATCACGTATGCATTTGTTTTAGGGTATAACTCATTGTTTACAGTATGTTTTAGGTGACAATAGATGTGAATAACATTCCCAATAAATTTATATAGTAGTGAAAAATTACATGTCTTCTGTGGACATTTTATAAGTGCATTTTATATCAATAAAATTTTTCTCTTTGAGTTGTGTATGTTGGCTTTCCAGTGCATTTTAAACACTCATTTTTTGCAATACAATGCCTGATGATTCTGTGTGACGATTTCATTAGACTGCTTAAATTCAAAATATTTTAGGCAGTTGGAGATCTAGGCAAGAACAGTTATGAGCACAGAGTGCTTCATGTAGATTAAAATTGCCCTACAGAAATGTAGCAAGAATGAAAATACATCTAGTTGCTGAGTTCCCTCTGTGATAGAAAGCACCGCCTTGAGGTGGTGGTGGGTGCCTAAACTTCCAGCACGTTCCAGAACAGCTTTAGGTACACAGACCCTGTCTCACACCCACACCTCCAGGACAATAGGTGTCCAGTGTACTTGGCACAGGTTTTAAAGAATTGCTTATTTCGCAGAGGCTAGGGAGCTCCAGATGAAGTTGCAGCTGTGCTCTCCGTGTGAAAGATTGGCGCCTTCTCAATTCACTCAGCATTTCAGTATGAAGTCCTCTTTATGGGGGGTGGGAGGATGTTACACAGTAGATGTTTTTGGTAGCAATTTTGAAAAAAGCATTTTAAAGAGCTGATTTAGGGCAGTGAGATTGTATAGCAAGTAAAGGCACTTCCCACCAATTCCAACATTGATCCCCAGGACTTACCACACAGAGAATTCACTCCAAGCGCTCCTCTGACCTTCATTTGTTCACTGTGGTATGCATGCCCACGCACGAAGTCCCGCAAAGCATCTTTTTGTCTGGAGAACTAAGATACTTGGCCCACGGCGTGCACGGTGACTGTAGGTACTCATTTCCTTTGCATATACAGTGTGTGGGTAGCAGGTTCGTTTTCTGTTCTGGGCTCTTACTCGGAGGTTCTGCTGTAGTGATTGAGCCTAGCGATCAAATAGCTCCACGGGTGATGGGAACACAACCTTAAATGACACTGTGGCTAGAATGCAGTGGTTATGATAGTGGTGCGATCTCAAATAAGCCTCAGCTGTTTTCTAGCTTCTGCATCGCGTGGCTCAAGACTTCCTAATTTTGTCACTTGGCTCATTGGCTACTCTCAGTTGTCTGCAAACCATGGCCTCAGAAACATCCTCATCCTGGATCACTCTAACTGGTTAGATGCATGTCCTTTCTCCCTGTCCAAAGCAGGTCTCCTCATGTTCCGTCTCCCCGCCCTCCAGTTACTGCATTACGGCCTCTACTTGCTGTATTTATTTATTTTTATTTTTTCATAGCACCTAGGCAATGTGTCAGTCAGGGTGTGTCAGCGTAATGAAATATTTGAGAGAAGCAAACTTAAGTTGGGAAAGATAAGGGTTTTTCCGGCACAAGGGCATCCTGGAAGCTGGGAGCCAACAAATACCACAAAGTCAAACCATGCAACAAACTTCACAGATTTATTGAGAACAAAATGGCGGCTGCCTCTGAATGGGAAGAGAGCAGAGGGCTGAGGGAAGGGGTGAGCTTTTATAGAGTCTTTGGAGCGTGCCCAGTGAGCTAGTGGAAACATACAGTGCAGCCAGTACTGCTTGGCATTTAACTCTGAAACATTGTTTGAAGACTTAAGGCTGAGTCATGAGTGGGGATTTCCAAGTGTCAGAGCTGGGGTAGGATGGGGACAGGGTAATTTACCACTGGCCAGTTACCCTATAAAAGATTTATTTTGGCTCCAGGTTTCAGAGTGTCAGATCTATGGTCACTAGGCTTCACTGTGACTGGGTTTGAGAGGCAGGACACCATAACCTTTACCATTTTACTGTGACTGGGAACCAAAATGAAGGTGTAAGGAGAGAGTTGTCTGAATCCAACCATCTAATGGGACAGCTTCTCCGTCTTGCTGGCAGGGTCAAACTGAGTTCATGGTCTGAGGCCCGGGAACCAACTCTTTTGTTCCTTTATCACTCTGAGCTCTGGGACCAAATGTCTAGGAGAATGAGTTAAGGGCCTTGAAGCCAGGTGCCCTGGATAAGACCCGGTCTCCACTGGATAGCCCCTTGCTTTTAACTCTTAATGTCAAAATACTATTGGATAACTCTGAAGCTCACTCCAGCCTCCCCTCCCCCTGGCTTTACAGTTTCACTCTTTACATATGCTGTGCAACTTCCCTCCAGGGGTGCAGGGAGCTCGCAAGTCTGTGTTATTGTCCCTGACTGGTCAGTTTTTGCTGCCTAATTCAAACAAAGATCTTGCTTTTGCTGGACTCATGTGCCTCCTTGGGTTGTTTTGGTTTTTCCGACCCGAACAAAGAGAGTTTGGTTTTGTAACAAAGCCTCATAGAACCCAAACTAATATTAACCCATTCTTGAGTGGCATCTTATCAGTAGCTATGTCACTAAAGATGTTTCTCCCTCTTCTAGAAATCATTAAATTCCCTGTAGATAGGAAGGGTGGGGCCTTGTAATCCCCTCCCCCACCCCCTCCCAGTCTAGTTACCTTGACTGATTAAGGGGGAGGTAGGACCCTTTGAGTCCATGTGTCTTCCATGGCATGGTTGGCAGGCTTGATTTTGTGCAGGTCTGCAGGTAATTAGAGCTGCTGTGACTTCAAGAGAACTCACAGGCTGGGGAGATAGATGGCACAGCAGGCAAAGGAGCTAGCCACACAAGCCTGACAACTGAGTTTGATTGCTAGAACCCACTAAGAAGGCAGATGTGGTGGCACCTGTTGTAATGTTGTCTCTCTTGTAGCAAGCTGGGAGACAGAAGCAGCTGCCTTAATAAGACAGCTTATTGAGCCAGCTGTCTCAATGAGGCTGAAGGCAAGAACCGACTCCTGAGATAGCCATTGACTTTCACATACGTTTCACAGTATACTCACATCTGCATGCAACTCAAAATAACTTCAGGAAGTCCCAGAAACCGACAAGATTCACTAGAGTGAACAAGAAAGACTATTAGGAGTCACTTCAGAGAAGCAAAGCTGCAAAGAAGACTCTGAGACCAGACAGGCTGCGAGAAGAAGCCCAAACCAGCTCAGCTGCCTGGAAGAGGCTGAGAGCAACTGAACCACTTGGAAAGGACACCCTTCAACCTGTTGAGCTGCCTGCGGGCTATGCAGCGTGCTCCACAGTCCCAGCTTTTGTGAACTGTCAACCACGCCGGGGAAGGCTTTGGTAATACAGTTGTCTTTGAGTCATTTCTTCCCCTGTGAGTAACCCCTCACCCATATTCCTGTAAGTAACACCAGTAAAACTTACTTATTCACCAAAATCTTGACCTTGGTGGTATTCATGCTTTGGTCTGGGGTGGGGGGGTATCCCTATTTGGGATGAGTAAACAAGTATGTAGCATCTGTGCCCCAGAAAAAAGTTACTTTGTAAGAAACATATACTTCCTGCCAAGTTACTCTGAAGCAAACTTAGCACTCAGGAGCCACATCTGAGTGAGACAGTTGATCGCAGTTCTCAGGAGAGAGGAAACACACAGCGATTTCCAGCGTGGTTGCTTTGTGTCCAGTGACTAAAATGCATGATGCCCTCAGCAATGTGGTCTTACCTTCTAGTTCTGGTGAGCAGTTAACAGGAGTGGCAATTTCTGAATTATTTAGGGGCCTCAGAGACTGTAGACCAAAAACTTAACGGAAGGTAGCCTGACTCTGGCACTGGGATTTTCATTTGACCTTATGATTCTGGAAAGTAGCTTTTATCCACCCATGCAGGGTATCACCATTTATTTATTTTTGTTTTTTTTTTAATTGGATTACCAAGTATCAGATTTCCTTCTGGTGTTTTCTTAGGATCTAGTTTTGATCGACCCTTCTGTCCGGCTCCCACTCCAACCCCCCACCCCCATCCTACTTAACCCTTCCACTCCCAGTACTTCCTCTCTCCTTGCTTGTTAAAGATAATACTCTTTATTTTATCATGTGTATATGCGTGTGCATATAAATGCAGTGCCTGTGAAGGCCAGAGGAGAGCGTCAGATCCCTGAGAGCCGGAGTTACTGGCTGCTGTGAGCTGCCCAGCATGGGCTTTGGAAACCAAACTCAGGTCTTCTACAAGAGCAGTGCACACTCTTCACGGTCATCTCTCCAGGCCTGTCCCCTCAATTGACACATCACATGTGTTTACTACCCCTCTCAACCTGAAATTCCACGTTCCATGGCCTCCTGTGGACCCCTTTCTAGTTTCCTGGGCTCTTTCCATACCCCCAAAGAAATGCAAACAGAGGAAAATTAGAAATTAGAACCCACGAAGGAGAGAAAATATTGAATATCTATCTCTTTGAGCCAGAGCTATCTCAATATCCCACCTCTATCCCTTCCTCCACAGATTGTGTTTTTCTTTACGTCTGAATAAAATGCCATATTTCATCATCCAGTCATCTGTCAGTGACATCTAGTTTGATTACACTTCTTTGCTATTGTGAATGAAGAGACTATAGACATGAATGTACAAGTATCTTTAAGCCCTTTAGGCTTGGCAAACCTGGGTAACATGGTAGTTCCATATTTAGACTTTTGTGGCATCGCCACATTGATTTCCACAGAGGCGGTTCCAGTTTTCACTCCCAACAGCAATGAAAAGTGAAAAGGGGCTCCCATTTTCTCTGCATCCTTGACAGTCAGTATTTGTTTTACACACACACACACACGCACACACACATATGTGTGTGTGTGTGTGCATGTATATATGTATGTATACATATATGTGTATATGTACATACATAAATGCATGGCAACTGGGATAAGATAGAACCTCAGAGAGGTTTTAATTTGCATTTCTAAAGATGTTGAACATATTTTTTTAGAATAATAATATGTCTTCCTTTTTGGGAGCTACCTATTTAGGTCCTTAGCTCTCTGTGTGTGAGAGTTGTTTCTATCTTTCCGCTATTTGGGTCCCAGGGATCAAACCTAGGTTCTTAGCCTCAGTAGTTAACACATTGTTTTCAGCGGGGCCATCTCATTAACCAGAGGAGTTTGCATCAGTGTTCTTCAAAGACATTCAGCTGTAACTTTTGTTGTTCCTTTATCTGGTTTTGATATCAGGGCAGTGGTGGCTCTGTAACAGAAGTTTGGAGGTATTCCA